TTTTCCCCATTTAGGATTATGTTAGCTGTTGGGTTTTCATAAATGGCTTTTACCAGATTGAAGTAGAGGCCATCTATTCCAATTTTCTGTAGGACTTTGAGGGGTCTCGTTTTGGTTAGGAAATTCCCTTGCATATAAATCTCATCTGGTTGGTGCAGAACTCTGGGTTTGGGTGGATATGGTGGAGCTTTTCCCTATAAATGCCTTGAGGCTATCTGAGCCTTGGAAGGAGAGCCAAAAGCCTTGGACAACTTCTGGGCCTCGATTTCTCCCGTCCTATGTTCCTAGGACTTTTCTGGAACAATTTTTTCTTTCTTTCTAGTGTGGGGGATTGAATCCAGACCCTCACACATAATAGGCAAGTTTTCTACCTCTCAGCTAGCCCTCTTTTTTCTTGTGGTGATTTTTAACAGCTTTATTAAAGTATAACTTACATATCATGAAAGCACCCTTTTGAAATGCACAATTCAGTGGTTTCTGGTAAATTTATTGCATCATGTAACCATTGCCACAATACAGTTTTTCTAACATTTCTGTCACTCCCAGAGATGCCCCAAAAGGCTTTGGGTTAGGAAAAAGTTGCCTCCTTCCCCACTAGGTCTCTTTGCAATCAATCCCAGTTCTAATCCCAGTTTAAGAGAAAAAAAAATCTATTTTCTATGTGTGTAGATTTGCATTTTCTGGACATTTCATATGCATGAATGTCTCTGTTGCTTTTCTCTTGTTGCTGGGACAAAATACCCTACACCCAAAATGCAGGAAGGAAAGGTTTATTTAGCTCACAGTCAGTGGTGGTTTCAGTCCATACTCAGTTGGCTCCAAGGCCGAGTGGCACATGGCACAGAGAGCAACCATTCATGGCGGTCTCAAAGAGCAAGAGCACAGAAGGAGTGAGAGCAGCTCACGCAGCGAGCTAGCTTCTCTCTCTTCCTTACATTGTAATGCAGAGTATCTACCCCAGGGCACTCATACTCACAATCCCAATATTAGATCACTAGTCAATCACAAACTCCAAAAGCTGCCCCATGACTGCATGAGACTTTTGGGGGACACCTAGACATAAACCATAACAATGAAATAATGCAACATGTGGTTTTTGCATCCAGCTGCTTTCCCTTAGTGAAATGTTTTCAGGGCTCATCCATGCTATGGCATGTATTGGGCATTCCTTCTTTGGCTGAGTACTATTCCATAGTATGGATGGGCCACATTTGCCAGGTAGTGATTATTTGGGTGGTTTTCATTTTTTGACTGTGGTGAATAATGCTACTGCGATCATTCACTGTGACTCTAACATTGCCTTGTGTGGACATATTATGGCTAATGCCATCCTTGGTTCAAGGATGAGCAGGTTCAAATCCTGGCTCAACCACTTTCTAGCTGTATGGCCTTAGAGATGTTACCCTGTGTTCCTCATAAGTAAACTGAAAATGTTCACAGTACCTACCTGATAAGGTTTTTTTAAAAAATTATTTATTTATTTGTGTGTGTGTGTGTGTGTGTGTGTG